CCATGTTGAGATGCAGCGAAATCGTCCTGGACATAAATCGTGCAGTATTGCAATATGGTCTTTTCTTTACTGAAAACCCCTGATATTTTCCTTTCCACAGAAGGGTAATACAAATCATCCGAAAGCCGAGTTAATTGTAGTGTTACACTGATATTTAGAGTTGTGTTAAATTTACAGCGTGATAATCTGTAGTGTAAGTACTCATACAGTTATTGTGATGATTGATGTTGAGATCTGTGCCCGGATGAACCATCAGTTTGACTCATCCGTGACTGGTCCATCCGGACACAGTCCTCAACATCAATCATCACAATAACTGTATGAGTAGTTACACTACGGATTATCACGCTGTGTTGTGTCTGTACATGTTCGATTGTGTGTACTGTAATGGCCTGATGAGAAGTATCGAAAAAACATATCTGTCTTTGCCACTTTTAGACTTCTCTGACAGAACAATGGGAATATTTTGTGATCTAAGGTATGTTGTATCGAAAATTCCCGCTGTCTAGGGCAACACAAATTAGTTCACTCTTCTATGACGGTTTTCCTGGTTCAGAAGAAGAGTGTAAATGTTTTTTATCCACTCCTTACATGGCATCCTTCCTCAAATTGTTACCTTCACGTTTCGGTCTGTTAAACAAACGGTACTAATTGTTATGAATAGCAATGCGTTATTGTCTGGCAAGCGGACGCTGGTGCATGAATGTGCCTAGTTTAGACCAAGAGTGGCGCTGTGCGCGTTCCGTTTTGCAACTGGACGACACAAGCCTAATTAAGTTTCGGCAAAATCAGGCTTGCCTATGCACAGAAGTTTTCTGAGTAGCGAATCCCTGCCAAGCGTTTCAAGCATGCATTGACAATAACCTTACCAATGCAAATTATGGTCTCTTATATTGTGTTTGTGAAACAATAGTATAACATATCAAGTTACAAAATGGGTCATTTGAACTGTAACAATTCCGGGGAAGACTTCACGGGTTTGCGATTTTCTCTCCAGAAAACGAAAAACATTTTATTGTATTTATACTTTACACAATTTAGAATCTAGACTGTATATCACACAAACCATGATTTGATTACATTGATAATAATAAAATCGGCACGTGCCATACGCCTGCGCGGAATACCGTCAGGCAAAGAAGGCAAATTCCATAGAGGATATGTCAGAAGGAGTGGTTGGTTATCCAAAGACTGATCTAAGGCATCTGGACGGTGCTTAAGGTCTGCAATTCCTTGAGAATCTATGTCTAGTTCATTAAATTGCACGAGGTGGACGAGGTGAAACGTTCAACACAACAAATATAACTCCATGTCCAGTCTAGTCCATCCGTTTTACAACCAGGAATGTTTGAATGTTGTTCATACTTCTCCTCTGGTGGGTTTAGAATCATGGTTTTAGCTAACTCTTTTGGCTGAACTTCCAATGGATCACCGAGCCGATTATGGCTCGCGATGTTGATCTTTGTCCTCTAACTGGTGTTGAGGAGTACCTATATCAAGCGAATAGGACAATGAGCAGATCTTTCTCTGCAGAGGCTATTGAAGAAACTACGTGCTAAAGAAGAATTTCACGATGTGAAACCAGTACACACACCCTCCAAGCTTGATTACGCTTCAATATGCATTGTTTCAAATAAAATAGCTGGAATTTAGGCATCATTATCAGCAAGTAATATTTTGAAAAGATACTGGGCATTCCACAGTGGAATATTTACCCGTACACTTTTACTATGATCAAAGAACACCTCAAATCATCACTGCGTATGCAATCAAACATTCCTTTTGTTGATTACCTTAATCGAAACGACCATGGACTCGACTGTTCGGCACATGAACTAGTTTCATCAGCTCCCTTGGTTGGTAGCCTTTAAGTTGTTCAGTCAATCATGAGTGCGCGGCCATCGTTCATTGTTTATGAGATGTGGCTCCTGAATATTTTTTCTATCGTTCGCTCGAAATTTGTCTGTATCCAGCTCCCTGACTGTGTCCTTACAACATGAACAACATCCTCCCTTCCAGATAGTTATACAATAATAAGTCACAGACCATAAATGCACATTTTTCGTCCTGTATTATTTTAGAAGAGGAGCAAGCCAACTGAAGGTAATACCATGACTTGTGGTTGCATCTTCATACAAAGGTCATGTCAACAATTTCTGGCTATCTCCTGAAATCTGATACTGATTGACATCTAATAAATTCCCATGCCGATCAACAGAAACCTGTTGCATTATTAATGAACTTAAAAGTACTTTATGGTTTGTTATTCACTTCTGACCCACGAACAAACAAACTAACCAAATTCTGTTGGGGATCAGGTGCAATTATCGGCAAAACTATGTATCGCTCCAGGTCTTCTCGGGTGGGTAGTGATGTCTGTGGTTGTAAACCCCAGTGGAAGTAAACTGTTACAAAAAATGTGGAAAACATATGTTGCTCGGAAAAGCTAACAAACCGACTTATCGGTTCATTTCGTAGCTGTGCGAATCAGTTAATCGCGTGCTCGCGGGAGTTTTCCAAGCCTGCGTGAATAACTATTCAGCCACACTACTATATGACTAAATTCAGCTCCCAAATTCTGTTTTCTTCCCTTAGTCTAACTTGATGCCATCACGCTTTTACGTTTGATCTTATAAGAGAATGTTAGCATCCACGGAGAGTTTATGAGAAGAACTTCGTGGACAAAGCGATATATCGATATATCATAATTAAACTAACTGCCTAGGGCAAAATAACCTGACTGATTAAAGAACTGGAGTTTTTCCGGGTTTACGAGTTCATGAAATGCTATTGAGGATTAAAAAGCAAGAACTGGTTCGTCGATAAGAGATGAGCTTTTGAGGTGTGAAATATTTCTCGTTTCTCCATCTGGAAAGCTAGTCGTTGAGGTTTCCCAAAAGAACAATAAATTTGTAAATGCTAGCAATGGTGACTGGTATTCATTTGTTGAATTCGATTCAAGACATTCGTGACCATTAATTGTTACACTGTCCATCAAAAAGGTGTGTTGGGGTGTTGATGAACAGACATGCTATATGTTCATTTACATTCCAACTGCATGCAGAATATCATGAAACAAGTTGAGCGTGTGTAGATGTAGGAGAAATCTTGTTCCAATAAGACAACCTTTTGTATATGTGTAGGCAGACTGATACACTGATGCACCAGTGTGAATTACCAGACCGTGAGTGAATGTTAGGGCAAAAGGAGATGAATCAAGCGGATGAGACCTTTATACATATCATACTGTGAAATATATCCGAGGATATTACGCGCAACTGGTATGTCTCTGAGATGCAAGCAGCAGTTCTTTGCTTAGAACAATCAACAGTGAAACCGATGTTCATTGATTCATGAATAGGGGAAGGTTGCTTCCTCACCCCCTTCAACGTAGTCAGTAGACCAATCTCATAATTGAGAGTGATAAAAGAGAGCATTTACGACCGTAGCAGTGAACACCTAAATATGTGAAATTTTATGTTCGTTAGTAAAAAATCTCACGTAGCAACTTGAATTTAGTATCTAACTGATCGGAGTTGCAATTGTCAATTGGAATTGCCCTTTGTGAATGTTGTTACAATTAGCTCAAGATTTAAAGCCCATCAAACAGTTTAACAACCTGACCACAAGTTCTACCCAGTTATTTTCTTTTTTTTACGTGTTTGGAGAATGAGCTTGGGAACCATATTACCACTTTTTTGATTGGAAAATGAACTGGAACATCTAGAGATGTTTACGGAATTCGACCCTTAACACCACAAAATGTTAGGCTTTCTAGGGAATTTTACTCCCCCCCCCCCGACGACCAGCAGTTTGATCGTAAAGAACAGTTTAGGAGTTTATTTCATGGTCCAAGTTGAAATGTACATGAGATCGAATAATATTTGACATACCAAAGACCAAGAAATAGCAGCAGCAGCACTACGTTTTCTGCCAACGTGCTCAGGTATCGTCAAATGCGTTAGTCGACAAATTTTCCATTGGTCACACAACTGATCCCTGACGAAGCGGTTTTTTCCCTCCATGTGTCTCCTAAATTGGTGCAAACCACCAATTTGCTGACAATTATTTAAAGAACTGTATTTTCAGTGGAAGAAACTAGCAGAAGCTAAATAAACCTACTCCCCGGCCGGTATAAGCCGATCTACAATGATCCATGGTACCCTTCTTTCTTTCTTTCGTTTTGATGACAACTTATCATTTCGAATCAACTCCAACCCCCCAACACCCACCCACCTCTCCTCACGCAGCTCAATACAGAACGATACTTGCTCATTTGTCGCTGCACTTTGAATGCGTTTGAACTCGTCCAAATTTTGTTCCAAACGTACATGATACAGGACAGTTTCCATCGATGCAGTGACCGATTGAAACATCAGATCACAAAACCCGGTCGGCAAGCGATTGTGGCTTTGCTGGGAATCAATTTGGCATTTTGGATACAGCAAAGTTTTCAGGTCAGTCGTATGATCCATGAAATGTCAACTGAACTTATCTATGACAAATATTGATTGTTTTCACAACTTCAGTGAAAATAAGGATTAGGATTATGCACTTTTACCCCCCCCCCCTTTTCATCATACTAAACTCAAAAAGATTCTCATTTCCAGCAATAGTAATGCTTGGTATCAAACTTTCATGAGGTGAAAGAACATGAGTACTTGATTCATTTCACAGAAGTCCAGGATCTACACTGCATGATCAACAGGAATGCGGATACTTTTCATTATAAGCTATAACTAAGTTCTAAGCGATAAAAGATTACACGTTTCAAAATATAGAAATTATACCTAGTAAAAAATGGTAATGAACTATAACGGTATTTTTTAACAATGAGCATGACATAACATTGCGCTTCACACTTAATGTGTCCCAAACGGTTTTCATTAGCACTGAAGCAATATGGAATAAAAATATAAGAAAATAACTTTTCACATCAAGGGAGGTTTTCGTTAGGAATATCATGAGAACTGCGACTTATAAGAAACGGAACAACTCAAGGTCGGCCAGGTTTCACGCACTGTGGGCGTTTGCATCTGTGAGCGTGGTTGACATAAGTGCGCAGCAAAATGTTTATTTTCCCTGGCTATAGATTCCCGACGATACGATACTAACCAGATGACATGGGGTTGTGGACAAGATAAAAGAGACACGTTCTCGATTAATCACAAGTGGGGAGGGGTATCCGTTAAGCACGATCATACCAAATGGAAGTCCTTCCCTTGTACAGTATATTACATTATGTAACCTTTTTTCTCCAAGTCGGAGATTTCAGTTCTGTTTAAGTTGTATAATAACATAGAATTTCACGATCGCCACTTTATAAATTTGAATGTTATATAAAGTCGTTTTAGTGATAAGTATGAAATCATACTGATTGAAGTGACTTTCTAGACAGAAATGTTTTTAGAAATCTCATCCTAAAAGACTGTTGTCGACTGGTTATGGTGTGCAATACAACATCCAGTAAGTTACAGATCCGTAGCCTGCTAATAATCTTCACTATTCACTTATTTATTTCAATTTACTTTACTATGGTTGTCCATACATATTACTTTACTGAAAACCCCTGATATTTTCCTTCCCACAGAAGGGTAACGCAAATCATCCGAACACCGAGTTAATTGTAGTGTTACACTGATAGTTACAGTTGTGTTAAATTTACAAAATATGTGTGAACCACAGAAGTTGAGAATTCTATATGCGGGTTGATAAGCCGACTTTATAACCGCGCATTTGGCAAGTCTAGCTAGGGATCGTACCCAAACCAGTTCATTTCAAAGATGGAGAGACAAGTGACCAATGGGCAACCAATCACTTGACACACCGAGTCACCTTCTGACGCCACACTGTAAGACAATATGGACTACAGTAGAAAGCACTCAAATCATTTGTGACACAGGCCAAGAAAAAAAAGCGAAAATATTATTATATTTGTTATTTGCAGCAACGTTATGTTTTTTGCTATTACTTTTACTGCAAAAAATTACACAACGAAGAAAATATACACTAAAACTAGTAAAAATCATTTGTAAAATACCACTCACATCCTAAGTGAATTGGCACGCTAGACGTCCACAATTCACGAAAAACGGGTGTACGTTTCTTTCTGTCTATAATGTAGCTCATCACGGGGCGCAAAACGGCCCGAGATTCAAGAAATTCCGAAAGAACGCTGATTATTTACGAGTTAATTGATAGGCAAAATGCAACACATTTCAGTAACCTTCACCTCCTTGTGATTTTACGCCTTTGCTTCGAATCAGTTTCACACAGTTATTTCGTGTGATTTTGCTCAAACACACGCACGCACATAGGTTTTCAGACAAAATATTAAATTAAGATGAGAAAGAAAAAAATAGTTGAAACGCTTTATTCATCCGTCCACTTTGACCCTAAATCCTGACAGCTGAAAAATGCCGACATTCTCTTCCTGATTGAAAGTGACAAAGGTGCCTACGGATGGATCTTGTACGTGGTCACTATGCCAATCAGTCTGTTCTATCGTTATCATTGTACAGTTTGTCTTTCACAGTGTTTCAACAAACTGTACGAGGATGAGGTGAGTGCGGTTGATGACTAAGTGTTATTAATTATTACACTGTGAATTCCATCATCATAAACTTCCGGGTCATCATCTGAGTCATCATCTGAGTCATCGCATCCCATGCGTTTATTAGATTGTGGCATTAACGAACGCTAATATACAATCAGATTGCTAACTGAAACTTGAACATGGATATTAATACAGATGATTGCGCAAGGATCAGCAAAAGGACTGACCTCTATACTCATGAGAAAGTATTAACTGTTCGATCATGACAACCGGTTACCGAAACAATGGGACTTGGAGTAGTGTACACCAAAATCCCTTCAGCGGATGAACGTGGAGTAGACCGAAGCTGAGTATCGCATAAATTAGTTAATATTGGCCGATCACGAAACCTTGATCTGAAATCGCAGGACAGCACTGACAGAACCTTGAGCTAATTGGACCGAACCAACCATGAGCTGCCCTCCGAATACCGTACGCAAGTGCATGTATGGAGGACTGGATGCGTTCACTTTATGGATTATAATAATATGGATTATTATAAATGATGACGTTTGATAAAAATTTAGGCAAAGCTTTCCGTGCGCTCGGATGCAAAATACTAGACTCTCTGGGAGAGTCTTATTAACTAATAGGATTAATCAAATTTGATTGAGATTATTACGTTTCGAAAAGAGGAAACAGTCTCTCGTCTAAGGAATACAAAACCAATGTTGGTAGTCAAAATAGTCTTTATGAAATTCCTGTTTTGTTTTATGCTCGGACATTGATATACACAACTATTTATTCCCGGAGTACTTTCCCATCGTTTCTGTGTTGATGTTCACGGATACGAAGTATTGATCGTAAGAGTTATTTCCGTCTCTCGAAAAAGTGTATTATATAAGATTTCCCTAGGTGATGTCAAATGGAATTGCTAGAATGAAATGGTGGCTAAGTTGGATATACTATTGCAAAAGAAAACGGCATTTCACCACTTAGATACAATCAGTGGCGATCAAATTTACCCATTAGCCAGACAAACGAGATTTATCGAAAAAAACTTGGAACTGAAAAGTGAAAGAACGAATTAAATCGATTGTAATTCGAGGTTTACTATGCAGGCTTCCTCAAATTTGTACACAAATAAATATTTGAAAAATTGCTTTAACTTGGTGAAACAAGAACCTGAAATCAACAGCTGTGTACAATTTCGAATGAAGAGTGGGCGGCAGACGTGTATTTAATCCACTCTTTGATGGG